AATGTTCTAACTTCACTCAAACACATTAAATCAGAATTTCTGGTGGGAGTTCAGTTATAGTATTATTTTATACTTTATAGGTGATACTAAAGAGCAATCCAAGTCGATATTCCTTGAGAGAGGAGGAGGCAGCTAGGCAAATCATGAAAGGCTTGGACACCTGGATAGATAGAAATGCCATTTGCTGAGAAAAGGAACATAGGAAAATGAATAGCTTTGGAGTTATGAGTCAGAGAGGATGGTGTGTGTGTGTGTATGCACGGATGTGTGCAGATGTGCGTGCGCGTGTGTGCACGTTGTGAACATGTTGGCCTTAAAGTTCCTAAGGGACCACCTGGCGATGATGCTGAAGAGTAAGTTTGGTCGATTACTTTGGATCTCAGAAGAAGGAGTGGGTTAAGAACATCAGTATAAAAATGATAGTTGAAGCCATGGACAAAAATAGGGTCTCCCAAGAAAAAATGTGCAGAGTGATGATTATTAAAAAATAAAAGCACAAGCCTGGGTAACATCACAATATGAGGGGAGGGGAGGGGAACTATACTCTATTATTTCAATGCGCAGAAAGAGAGACTATGAAACAGTTTGGTATATACACATAAAGACTGTGTTAGCATTCAGTGATTTGATCCAGCCATTCGATTTAGAACTACATACCAAGGAAAATTGGAAATGCAGAGTCAAGTGCGCCCAAACCAAAAGCAGATGAACTCATTTGAAGAGCGCTACAAAGACTCTTCTGCCACCAAACGAGGATTAATTTATTGTAAAACAGAAAATTAAACTTAGGAAACAGAGACTCCGTCCATGTTCTCGGCTTGACCAAGATGATAGGTCTTTGTATTATTCCAGAATTTATAACATTTTAAATTCTATAAATTAATTAACTTGCTTGGAATAGTTGAAGACCAATATTTAAAACCTAATGTCTTTTCTACTGGGACGCATATAATCATGGAGTAAAGAGGATTGCTTTGTATTTTCCTTGCCCGCACCTAGGGAAATAAAACAAACCTGCATTTCACAGCCAAAATGAATTTTGGCAGAGCCTTTCAGGATTGCAAAGTACAGAAATTATTCTGTTCTCTGGAGATTAAATATGCAGTTTCACCATTTAGGAAACTATGACCTGGGTCATACAAAAATTCTCAATATTTCAGGATTAAATCACCACTCTAAATGATACCAATTGACCTTCATCAATTAAACATGCTTAGGGAGAACTATGGTATTCTTAAATTTATAATAAAATATTTTAATTATGTTATAGTCTTTTAAAAAGAAATGTATTTATTCTATGCTAATTGCATTGCATACTCAAATTAGACCCGGTAGAACCAACCCTTTCGTTCTCATCTCATTACTGGGACTCTCCCTACGGCAAATGGCAGGAGCTACAATGGGTAAAAAATGCTGTTTTTTCTCTCAGCATATGTTTGGTGGTCCTTCCATGTGGCTTCAGAAGAAATTGAGCCTGAATTCCAACTCTGACTTCAAACCTTAGTGTGACCTTGTGCAAGTCATATAACCCTTCATTTGGAGAATGGGGATGGTGATAGTAAGACTGTTGTGAGAAGTGAATGAAAGTATTCATTTAAAATGCTGACACTAGAGTTTTTCTCAGAGTAAATAAATAGTAAATATCAGCTTTCATTGTTATTATTATCAAAATTTGTAGTATGTGCTCCCCAAAAACCTTAAGTTGCTCATTTGTAATAATAATGAATGTGAGAAGCAATACATAGACTCCAAAGTGGCTAGCATCTACATTTTCTAAGAAGAGGATTCTTTTATTATTGAGTTTAAAGAACGGAATCCCTCACTCTTTGTGAACTCCTGAACGAATTTCAACACCAGGCACAAAGTCAACTCTGACCTTCTGCTCTAGCCTATATTATACCCTTCCATGACACATTAAATTCTTACCATATTCAATAAATCAGAAAACATCTTTGCATTGATTATCTTTTCTTTTCTGATTGACCATTGTGGTAAGCTTAACAATTACCCCTTCACCTCTAAGAGATGTTGCTATCTGTATCCCAGAAACTCTGAATATGACACCTTTCTCATTAAAAGAGCCTTTGCAGAGGTGATTAAGTTGTGGATTTTAAGATAGTAAGATTATCCAGCCAGTTCCGCTGTAATCCAATGTTATCACAAGTTTCCTGTTAAGACAGTGGCAGAGGCAGATTCCACTACAGAAGAGAAGAGGGTATGTGACTGTAGAAGTTAAAGAATACTTGCAGTCACCAAAACTGGAATCAACAAGGATGCCAGCCCTGTTGATACCTTACTTTTAGCCCTGTAAGATTCATTTCAGACTTTTGCTCTTTGGACATGTAAGAGAATATATCTCCATTGTTTCAAGCTACCAAGTGTTTGGTAATAAGCTACAGCAGCCACAGGAAATGAATACAGCCACCGTTCACATAATCTCAAGAACTAGCTCAACATTCATACTATTCAGGCCCCTGCTCAAATGACACCGGCCAACAGAGAACTTTCATTAAAAAAGACACTTTATATGAAAGATTCAGGCATCAAAATCATTTTAGATTTTCAGCAGCAGCTCTGGAAATGAGATGATGATGAAACCATGTCTGAAAGTTCTGAATGAAAGTGATTGTCAGCTCAATATTCAATCAAGGGTGTTGGTAGAATAAAGATAAATCAAGACCTGCAAAAATTCAAAATATTTACTCCATACACTCATTTTTTCATAAGTTCACTGTAAGATGATATTCATTCTAATGAAGGAGGATTTTAACAAAGTAGAAGACACGAAAACCAGAAGGCATGTGGTGTGTTCCCAAAAATGGCAGTGCAGGGATATTCCAGGATAGGTTTATACAAAGATCAGAGAACAAGCAATTCAGACAGGAGCAGGACAGAAGATGGCAGACACATCCCTTCAAGTAGATAAAAGTGATCTGACATTAGAATGAATGATTGTACTAGAGGAAAGTTGAGTTCAATTATTAATAAATACATGGACAAGAAACTAAATGAAAAAGAAAAGTACTCCATGGAATGCAAACGAAAACACTGTAGAAAGGATAACTAATCCTACTTTACTATATAGTTTAACTCTGAGTAGCCGACATAATAGTGTGGGTAATGAATACTAATCTGACCGGAATTATACACATTTTTATATGCAAGAGTGTAGAGGGGCTGAGAGAGGAAAAATAACTAAGTCATCATCTTAGGAAATACATTATGCTTACATTTAAGGAGTGAAAAGTGGAAATATAACTTAGTTATTTAGAAATTCAGAGGTAAATATTGTCATGCGCGTGCATGTGAAGAGACCACCAAACAGGCTTTGTGTGAGCAATAAAGCTTTTTAATCACCTGGGTGCAGGCGGGCTGTGTCCGATAAGAGAGTCAGCGAAGGGAGATAGGGTGGGGCCGTTTTATAGGATTTGGGTAGTTAAAGGAAAATTACAGTCAAAGGGGGGTTGTTCTCTGGCGGGCAGGAGTGGGGGTCACAAGGTGCTCAGTGGGGGAGCTTTTTGAGCCAGGATGAGGCAGGAAAAGGAATTTCACAAGATAATGTCATCTCTTAAGGCAAGGGCCGGCCATTTTCACTTCTTTTGTGGTGGAATGTCATCAGTTAAGGTGGGGCAGGGCATTTTCACTTCTTTTGTGATTCTTCAGTTACTTCAGGCCATCTGGGGGTATACGTGCAAGTCACAGGGGATGCGATGGCTTGGCTTGGGCTCAGAGGCCCGACAAATATGAGTGACTTTTTTAAAAGTCACTCATAGAACATGAGGTAAGGAAAGAGGCTAGGGACTGCTATTTGTTGTCTGTTAAGATATCTAATTAACAAGTTAATATTTTAAACTCTATGCGTCAATAATTTTGATAAAAATAAAAACAAACAGAAAATAAAACATGATTTTTAATAAGAAAGAAACAAATTATATGGGATTATACCTAACTAGAAATAAGTGGAACATTTAGGGAGAGAAATAATAAGATTTATTTTAGGAAAAAATAGCTGATAATAATGAAGAGAAACATTGTTTCTTATGCATGAGACAAGTCATCATCATACAAATCTCAAATTTCCACAAGTTTATCAGAGATTACTGCAGTTTCATTCAATTCATGTGGAATGAAATTATGACAAACTGTCTAAATTTAATACGAGAGAATATGCATGATTTATAGGGTAGTTTATTTATTACAGATAATATTTAAAAATAAGCCAAAGAGAGAACACACTGTTAAAAATTTTAGTTATATTAAAAAGGACATCAGTGAAGAAGTAGAAAAAGTTTGAGTAAGGTAGATAGTCTAGTTAGTAATACTGTACTAGTGTTAATTTCCTGTTCTTGATAATTGTATGTTTTTGTGAGATATTAAAAATAGAAAAAATTTGAGAGAGAGATAAGAACTCTTTGTATTATTTTTGTAACTTTTTCATTAATTATAAAATTGGTTCAAAGCAAAATGTCTATGAAGATCAAATAGTGAAAATAATAAAGAACTGGGGAAATGCAAAGACATGGATCGAAAATAATACAGAATCTAAAACTTCCATCTACGTATTATACTTTGTATATAATAAAAGTCACTTCAATAATCAGTGGGTAAACTAAAAGGCTTCTTATTAAATGATATGGGAAAATTGGTTCACTATTTTGTGAAAAAAAAAAAAAAGATCTTATCACATCATACCAAAACCAATCTAAAAGGATTAAATATCTTATAAAAAGCAAAAACTAAGACAATAATAGAATAAAACATCAAATAGTTTTGGAACACGTGTATGTAGAAATATGTTTTATCTTTTTATAAAGACAAACTATAATCGGTACAGATGAGTATATCAAAACTAAAGATTTTGGTTCAACAGAAGACAGCAAAAATATATCCACATGTTGTAAGACAGAATGGTGATGTATGCACTTTCTAAAACAGCTACAGATTTAAAATGATATTATTTTAGAAGATCAATTCTAGTTTTGCATTAGATTGAAACTCACTTTTTGATGCGATTCTGCAGGACAGTCCTTTCAAGGCTTTTCTTTTGTTGTCTTCATCATCCTCACAAAGACCACAGTCCTTGGCGTCCACGTGATCAGTGAGCTTCCCATCTTGTACTTCTTCCCTTCAAGGAGGAAGAGATAACAGAAATGCAGTCAGGTCCCTCGGCAGAGTCCCTCACGTGGCCTCCCAGGCATGGTCTGGTGGTCAGTGTCCAGCTACACCCAGGGCACTCATCTAGAGAGACCCCTGACAACGGGCACACGGGGCCAGGCTAGGTGCCACCAGGCACCAACAGGTTAAACACGGCAGGGTCTTTGAGTGACGCCCACCTCTAAGTCTGAGGGTCACCCAGAGAGATGCACTACTCCATCTTGGATTCCCACTCCGAGCTCTTGAATCTTCTCTTCAAAAGCAGTTTCCACTTCACTTTTTTTCTAATGAATATGCCACAAAGAATGCCTCCGAGACAAATGCTATGAAAATCCTGAGGAGGAAGAGGTGGAGGGGGTTAGGTTGAACAGCCGCAGTGTAGGTGACAAGGAATCCTGGCTCCAAAGAGCGCTTGAGCCCAAGTACAAAGGCAGCCTATTGCTGCAGAGAAAATGCAAGACACGGGGAGAAATGACAACAAAGTAT